TACAGGGCTGCACCGTACATTGCAACAGAACCAAGCCAATTATTTCAATAAATGGTGATCACTGGTCTTTACTCTTTATAAAGTTTGCCTTGTTGTTTATACCTCTGAAGTGAGATTTTGTGGTCAGTCTTCTCTCAAATCCTCCGGACGTGTTAAAATGTGCAGCGTGATCTGAAACCTGCTTTACGAAACATAAATCGCAAGTCCATCGTTTTCACAGCATTTCAGAAAATGTGTTGTGGTTTTTTTTCCCCAAACTGTGCAGCTGTACTTCTAAACCAAAGTGCCAGTTCACAGAATGTTCTTGAGCGTCTTTGTGAGCTGCTGTGAAACCTGTCTCATAACTGTATGACGCTCACACTGCGCTGCGCCCCGCCAGCTCGCACCTGTCACTCAAAATGAACAGGACTGATGGATTAAAGCTGGCACAAAACACACTCAAATATCAACAGAAAAACAACTTTAACCACAACATTAACACTTTCCTGCGATATATTTTAAGATAAAGATGATATTTTGTTTCGAATAGTTAATTGCTTTGGACTAGATTATTAGATTTCCATCACTTTGAAACCAGTGGATGGGTTAATCTTTCCGAACATGAAACCAGGTAAAAATCTACAGGAGGATCCCAAGCACTCACTCACTGTTGGGGAGCGAGCAAAAATATCGAAATATCTATACATCGTATCGTTAAATGTGATGTGTATCGTGGGCTGATGTATCGATATATCACCAAGAGTATTTTACTAAATTATTTTGTTACAGCATTAGTTTTGTTGCTTGTTCAGAACTCGTTTATGCGACACATTTGACAATTTTCACAGTTTTTATGGTTTAAAATGTTTGTGTTTCATATGAACTTTGCACAAGAAGTGGTTTAACAAAGACTTTTAGTATCACAGCCATGATTTAACTTATTTTCATTGAACCGTATCGAATCAAAAGTGCGCCGTATCGAGATATCGGCATCGTATCGGCAACTTCTTAACCCAACTCTACTCTCGGTGTCCTGAATGTTGCTTCAGTGGTCTTAAACGAGCGGTATAATGTAGAGAACAAACTTTTCTTTATGAGACAATTAAGTCCTAGTCGACTAAAAAGGCGCAGCAAAAGCTCTCAACACCATTAAGTATCACTATGTCTTTGACCCAAACTGCACTCGAGACTACACCCACGCAGCAGCCAAAAACTATTCAAGCAGAAAAAGTACAAGGAAACTATGTATTTAGATAAAGACAGATTAAACTTGTGAATCATGAGTTTACTCTGCCGTTTTACATACAAATACCAAATCTTCAACTCAATTTACTTCTCCTTTCAGCTGTAGTCCCAGATAAAAGCCTTATAATTTAAATAAAAATGACTTAGTAAACACAAAATTTTGGTCAACTAAGACTAAAAAAAATAAAATGACTAAAAGCCTAGAGTCCTGTTGCTTATTGTGATATTTCCTGTAGCAGTAAATCATTCTGCAACATTTGCCATGGCGATAATCCAGTCAGCTAAGGATTAGGGCTGGGTATCGTTAAATGGCCGATACGATACATATCTCGATACACAGGCCACGGTATGATACAAATCTCGATACCGTGCACTTTCGATTCAATACAATATATTTCAAACTGACTCGATACGGTTCAATAAAAAAATAATAATGATGGCAAAATCAAGGCTGTGCTACTAAAAGTCTGTTAAACCACTTCTTGTGCAAAGTTCATATGAAACAAACATTTTAAATAATCAAAACAGTAAAAATCTGTCACATAAATGAGTTTCTTTTCACTGAACAAGCAAACCTGAAGCGATGTAACAAAATAATTTAGTAAAGTACCAAAAAAATACTCTTGGCGATATATCGATACAGCAGCCCACGATATCAATACTGTATCACCACATTAAACAATACGATATATCGTTTTTTGGATATTTTTGCGCACCCCTACTAAGGATGTAACAATATCTAAATCTCTCGATACGAAATTTTCATGAAATTCATTGGGATATTTTGTGGAGGCCAACAAAAGTGTGAATATGCGACTTTTCTGTCATAACGGAAATAATTTAGATGAACAAATGTTTAATATCAGTTATTTCATCATGTAGATTGAGACTGAAACAGAGCAAAGAATAAAGAATGGTATATGTAGTTTGTTTTTTTAGCTGTTGCTGCACCATAACAATGAATTTAAGCAGAGAAACTTGTTATTCAATATATTGTGATTGCCCACGATATTATTGAGAGACTTTTAACGATATATCACAATATTTCGGCTATTGTTAAACCCCTACTGTGAACCCTGCTGTGAAACTATTGAATTACCTGAAGGCTCCACGCTATAACCACCACCTCCGGCTACGATGACAGCGACTGTCTTTTCATGTGATCTTCCCCCGTCGCCGTTGTGAACATGAATAATATAAGAGCTGATGATTCACCGTTTGTCATTTAGAAAACGCTGTATTCCAAAGACAGCTGCCGTACGCGACAAATGAGTCAGGCTTCGGATGCAAACTTGGCTCGAGTTTAAATTTTGACACCTCAATAATTTTTGGAAACACTGAGGCTTTTGTTAGAAGATGTGAAAATATGAGAGAAGACGTGTTGAACCCCTCCCTTTTTTATTCGACAAAAGGTCATTGGCAGTAGAGTCAAACTACTTGAGAAATTAGCTGATAATCATTAGTTTACCATCACCAATACTGAAGTTAATACAGCTTTTTAACTGGGGCAGCAAAATATAATTCAATGTCAAATGTCCAGAAAACATTACAATAGATTTTTGCTCCATACAGACCCTAAAATGTAAAATAAAATATATATCGAGTTGGAGTATTCAAGGTCTTGTTTTAGTGATGAAGTTGATTTAAAGACAAAGATGTTTTTTGGGTTTTTTTGTGCTGAAATGTTTATAAAAACATGCGTCCTAACTCTTGAGTGGGCTTGCATCACCACAAACATGACTATTTGGCCTGGAGGAGGGTCACACCTCCTACTCATTTCCATGGAAATTTTGTTCCTTTGGCCATAACACTGCAGAGGATGACAGAACGCTTATTTCCAGAGAATGTATGGTATGGTTTTAACTTTCTTCCCAACACTAATTTAACATATTGTGAAGTCTTTTTTAATTCTTTTCTACTTTGTCCTATTAGTTTGAGCATTGAAACTTGTGAAGAACTGGCAAAATCCTGCCAGAATAAATACACTTTTGATGCCTGTCCTTCACATATAAATAAAAATGTTGAATTTATTGGAATGCTTAATCAAAAAAACAACAAAAAATGTGCCAAATCTTAAGTGTTTGATACGTCTATACAGCTCTGGCCAGTCTCCTGTAAAAGTAAACAGATGTCAAACCGATTCAATAGAAAAAACAAACACACTCCATTCCACATAATCTATAGATCCAGGTCACAGGAGGGGACGAACAGCTGGGCGCGGAGCAGACAGGCCTGGGGCACAGAATTCCCAGCGAGCACTCACTCAAACGCCATTTGGCCCAGAAAGCATCTCCCCCTAGACACCAAAGCTAAGTGAAACATCTGCAAAACTACTAACGACAAAGACACGGCCAACAAAACGGCACTAAAACCTTTGGCGTTGAATTCAATATGGTAAACAACAAGGTCCGTCTCATTTTTAACCACAGAGTTTCAGTAAGAATACATACCTACAGACTGCAATAGGCCATGCTGTAAATTGTATGTTCGGCGTAATTGCTCATTGGTATGTGGTTTCACTGCGCAAGAAGAATTTTGGAAAGTCAAAACATGAAAATAAGGGTCAAGAGGCCATGAATTAGAGCAAGTTTCCATTACATGCTTGCCGTATGTATGAAATGTCTGTCAGAAGTCTTTCCATAGCTATGTAAGGTTTTGCCGTGGAGTCATTTTTGTCGCAAGAACTGCAGGGTTTTGGCCAAAAAAATTGCAATTTTTGTATTAAAAAGTGATAGAGTTGCGATATACATGTAAAAAGCAGGAGTGCACATTGTAAACAACTTGAGGATCGTAAAAATTTAAGAGAGGAATGTAAAAAATAAACAAAAATTCCACGCATTTTAGACTATGTTTATAGAGATCTAAACTACGGGTACAACAACAATTTCTATTTTAAAAAAAAGTCTAGTTTGTTCCTTGTATTTGGCATTCTATTTAAATAATTTCAGACTTTACGATTTGATAATTGCGCAAACTTAAAATTGCGATTGCGATATTGCGTGCAGCCTTGATCTCTCCAACTCAAAATGCAGCCGCGCGTTCGTAAAATGGCACGTAAAATGCAACGCCCGTAGCTAAATCTTTTCTTTCACGGCGTCCTCCTGTAAAAATCCGTAGTTTTTAAAAAGTTTAAGCATCTGAGCAAAGTCAAAGCTTGTTTAGAAGCGTGTTGCCTCTGGGTGGGTCCCCAGAAACATGGCGTCATCACAGCGGCAACAGATGGCCGTGTGTCCGCAGTGCAAGAAAGGGTGTGTGGCCAGCCTCCAAAGTCCCAGCTCCCACCGAGAAAACCGCCTTCAAACCACCACAGCAAGAAAGACACGACAAAACAAGACCGTAAACTCAAAATACACGCCGGGTTTAAGGACGAAAAACGTGCCAAATGTGGACGAAAGGCGTGCGTAAAGTATGGAGAGGTTTTACGCAGAAAGGGCTTCATTGTTCGGTTAGGGCAGGTCTCAAGGGTTAAATTGGACTGAAATGTTGAGTATTTTCGGGGGGTTTTAAAGCACGTGGAGTGAAATAAGGCGTAAATACATTTCCAGAGAGAAGTACAAGAAAAATCGAGGCGTTTAAAAGCAGATAAAACAGCCTTACGAGTGCGGAAGCGGCGTTCGTATCGAGGTCGGAAGGATAACGGTATGTTTAGCTTCGAGTTAGCACGGCCTCTCCGCGCTGAAATAACTTAAAATAATCAATCTTACCAACCTGAAATTGTCTTAAACCCAAAGTCTAAACAGTTAATAGAGTGTAAACATAAAATGGAAGTAGTTTACCTGTAGTTTACGTGTGTAGGAGCTCGTTTTTCGCAGGATTTCGCCGGAGAACACTGGCTCCTTCTCGGTCTGTCTGGTACAATGAATTAGCTGAGGCTCGGGAGCGCGCCGCTGGGGGAGGGGTGGCGGGCGCGAGCACTGGGCCACGCCTGCGCGGGCACGAGACGCACCGGACCGTAACTTTTCAAAAAATGAACAATATAAACAAACAAACACGGGCTGTTTTTTTGTTTTTGTTTGTTTGTTTTGTTTTGTTTGAGGGTTTTAATTGACAGTTTGTTGTAAGGAAGCCAATCAGATCAATAATATGTGGGCGATAAGATGATGAACAGCGCGCTTGAAGGAAATTCCTATTCCCACTTCCACTTCCCAATTCAAATTACACAAAGGAGATTCCAAGCTCCAAAACAGAACAAGAATTTACTGAGCATCCTGCAAGAAATGGGGCTGTGTGCACTTGCAATCAGTGTAATAAATGTGTAAACAGGAGCAAAGCCAAGTTTGAAGTATAAGATGGAAGAGTTAAGTTCACCACTGCGCTGGCACAGTGTTTTTAAATGTTATGGTTATTGTTGTAGTCAGTGTTGGGGAGTAACAGATTACAAGTACCGGAGTTACGTAATCAGAGTACAAATTATGAGTAACTGTATTCGGTTACAGTTACTGTTTCAGTGAGTGGTAATTGGATTACAGTTACTTTGTTGAAGTAAATGGATTACACGGCGGTATTTTCCTGTTTTCACTTTTCGGGCTATATCCCTTTTGTTTTGTTTGTTTGTTTCTTTTTCGTAATTCCACTCATTGCCAGACAATAAACCAGGTCCAAACCAGGTTTAAACCAGGTCTAAACTGGGTCTAAACCAGTTCTAAACTAGGTCTAAAACCAGGTCTAAAGTAGGTCTTAACCAAGGTTAACCAGGACTAAACCAGGTCCAAACCAGGTCTAAACCAGGCCTAAACCAGGCCTAAACCAGGTCTAAACCAGGTCTAAACCAGGTCTAAAACCAGGTATAAACTAGGTCTAAACCAAGATTAACCAGGACTAAAACCAGGTCTAAAACCAGGTCTAAAACCACGTCTAAAACCACGTCTAAAGTAGGTCTTAACCAAGATTAACCAGGACTAAACCAGGTCCAAACCAGGACTAAACCACGTCCAAACCAGGTCTAAACCAGGTCTAAACCAGGTCTAAAACCAGGTCTAAACTAGGTCTAAACCAAGACTAAACCAGGACTAAAACCAGGTTTAAACCAGGACTAACAAAGGACTAAAACCAGGTGTAAACCAGGTCTAAAACAGCATTTAACAGGACTAAACCAGGTCTAAACCAGGTCTCAAACAGGATTTAACAGGACTAAACCATGCTGTGTGGACCATGTCTCCTCCTCTTCTATCAATAATATTTTTAATACAGTTCAGTAAAGTCTGGGCTTTTTATTTTATTTTAGCAGACAAAACATCTTATGTTACGATCCTCGTCTTTGCTTCTCTACAGCAAATCAAGTAATCCAAAGTATTCAGATTACGTTACTCACTTTAAGTAATTTAATGGATTACGTTACAAACTACATTTTGGAGTATGTAATCTGTAATCTGTAGGGGAATACATTTTAAAAGTCACCTTCCCAACACTGGTTGTAGTCTTATAGTTTTTTTTGTTTAGTTTTTTCATCTTGATTTTGATTGCATGTTCTTCCTGTTGTTTTGCAGATACATACTGAAAACATCAACTATAGAAATCAAGACTTATTCAATTATGTCGCAAAGAAAACATCTGAAATAACTCTGAATCTTTAGTGAGGATCCACACTGTAAATCGTCCTGAAAATAAAGAAAAACCATTCACTGAAAAGAGTTGTCACGTAAAAATTAAGTTTCAGGTTATACTGTTTAAAAAGGCAGTTACGTGTGGTCTCACTGCGCCTCCTGGTGGAATGTTTGGGAACATCTTCAAACGCTCAATTTCCTATTTAAACATCTCAATTTGCAAGTGTTGTGTACATTACTTAAAACTAAAATTATGTTAACATTATTTCAAGACAAATCAAAGACTATAAGACACTATTGGTCTAAGTCTCCACATATTATAAATGTAGACGTCTGTGGCTTTGATGTAGAAAAGTGGTAAATGTTATGTACATGAATGATAAATGAAACAGATATGGACAAAAAAAAATCAAATTAATCCATGTACTCATTTAAAAGTGTGCTTCATAGTAAGTTTAAGTATTTAACACAGATTTTGAGGACTAAGAATGGTTAAATATAGTAATCATCATACAGAATTGGCTGAATTTGTGGTCAACCAAAGGAACATAAAAGTTTTTCTTGACATATTATTACAAGGTTTAGAAATGGGAGTGGAAAATTTGCGTTGTTTTCGTTGAAAAAAAAAAAAAAAAACTGTGGAAACAAACTAAAAGAAGTGACCAAACACCCATTTCGTTCTTTATTAGAAAGTCGAAGAGAAACATACATAGAAGCAGTGAACAGAGCTCTGCAAGAAAGTCCAAGACAGAAAAATCAGCTTTAACAAGAAGAAAATGTGGTGCTTAAAGAGTCAACATCAACTTCTCAACTGTACAGCGCCCCTCTCCTAACTTCTGTCCACAGTTTTTTGGATTTTTTGCTAATTTTGTATTACGATCTGGAAGGTGCGTCCTCAAAGCTGATGATACTGGACTCTGGGGCTGTAGATGGCACTGTGCTGCCGTGGGGCGCGCCAGAGGCTGTGATTGGTCCAGAGGAGGAAGAGGAAACTGGAAGCAGGGGCTGTGATTGTGTTCTGAGTTCATCTTCTTCGTCGTCCTCCTCGTCATCCATACTGGGCCACGCAGACTGGTCCTCCACCCGCTTCAGGCGCTCGTTTAAAGCTTTCAGGGCGAGTTGTCTGAAAAAAGGGAAAAGGGGAGTTCAGGTGAGTGTAGAGTCAAAAGTCTTCACTTACATTTTTAACATGGTGGACACAACAGCTTTTCAACGCATGAGCTCAGATCTAAGGCTACGTTCAGACTGCAGGACTTAACGCTCAATTCAGATTTTTTTGTGAAATACGATGTTTTTGCGAGGTCGTTCACATTTCCAATTAAATGTGACTTGTATGTGACTCCAGTTTGAACAGTAAATGGCCCGAAAGTGTCGCGCATATTCACTGGAGACACGACGACGTCAACCGCAGCGAGCGTGCTCTGTGTTTACGGAAGTTGTCCAAACATGGACACGAGCATCGAGCACCTGGAGATTTTAAAGTTCCTCTCGTACCGGAGCCAGAACATGAACAACTTACTTGTTTTAAGGAGGAGATTGAGAAGGAGAAGGACGAGGTTTTTGGTCGTGGTGTTTTGTGGGCAGCGCGGCAGCGACGTCCGTTGAAAGGAACGTGTGGATGTGGAGACGGAGTCAAGAGTGGTGAGTGGTGATGTGCTTCGCTTCAGTGACACGGAGTTCATTAACAATTTTCGCCTACTTCAGCGCAGAATAGTGATGTTTGTGGTTTGTTGATAACGTGTAGGTCGGATGAATGAGCTTTGGTCGTTCAGACTGAAGTCACATGTCAAAAGATCAGATATGTATCGGTTTTAGGACCACATATCAAAGTGGCCTGGGTCACATTTGAAAAAAAAAAATCGGATTTGGGTCACTTCAGGCTGCAGTCTGAACGCAGCCTAAGCAGCTAAGCACGGCTGGACTGTTGTTGTGCTCTTAGGCAAGACACTTCACCCACACTGCCTGCCATGAATATGCTGCGCGCTTGAGTGTAGGTGCAGGTCTGAGGAGCTTTTCCCCGCTCAGTCTGCCCCAGGGTAGGTGTGGCTACAACAGTAGTTTACCACCACCGAGTGTGAAGTGAAGTGAAGTGAATGACCCAATCAGATCAATAATATGTGGGCGATAAGATGATCAACAGCGCGCCTGAAGGAAATTCCTATTCCCACTTCCCAATTCAAATTAAGCAAAGGGGATTCCAGCTCCTAGACAGAACAAGAATTTACTGAGCATCCTGCAAGAACTGGGGCTGTATACAGTTGCAATCATTGTACTAAAGTGGAGCACAATGAATACGTGAATGAATAATGCTCTGTGACGCGCTTTGGGAATTTTAAAAGCAGTTTTGGTAAAGCTGCTAACAACAACTAACATACTAAAGGATACTTCTTTATTATCGGACAATAAAATATTTCCTAATTAGATCTAGACATCACGCAGCAAACTCTGACCCCAAGATCTGCTCATACAATATCTGCACTGTCAAGACACATTTTGCTCAAATACTATAAACACTTACTGTACTGATACTTGGAAAATGTTAACACTCAGTAATACTAGTAAACTCCTGCTCGTATGGGACAAAACATAATGTCCAGTTGAAAACAGCACTTCAGTTGCAGTGAGCAGGAAGTGAGCTGCGTCTGTAGATTACGTGTGGATCTGTGCTGGTGGATCATGTGTCGAGTTGTTGAATAGGACTGTCCAGTGAATCAGACAATGGGGTGAATGGAGAAATGATCAAGGGCCTTAGTTGGAAAAGGCTCAGGGGCAATGACAGAGTGGGGACAAAACACCGTTTCCCAAACCTGGGCAAATGTGTCACTGTTTTCCATATAAAAGATGGGATGTGATGTGTTTAGAGTACGATGCTCATGTCATGACGTTATACCACGGAACTGAGCATTTTTATAAATCAGGACTTAAGTGAACAAAGTGTTTCTCTATGGTAAAAAAAAACTTTCAGGGCTCAGAGATGGGCCTGGTCAGTAAAGGTGTAGAGTATTGTTTCCTAAAGACTGGCTCACAAGAGATTTGTTTTGGGTCACGATCTGCATGTAGGTCTGCAATATACAGTCCTGACACTGATCTGCTCCTGCACCCGGACTGGAACATGCTACAAAAACACGGACAGGCCCACTTACCTCGTTAGAAATACTGAAATGTTCAGACATGTTTTGGATAATTTCTAATCTTTTTTGTAATTATTTTATTGACTATTTTGTTCCAGTATTGCTGGTCCAATTGAAAGTTGAAAAGAAAAAGAAATGGGCTACGTTTAATGTCCAAATAGGCGGATGGATCCTTTTAGTGCTGCTTCAATGACTGTTTTTCATTGTTTAAAACTTGAGTAATACTAATTGTTCAGAGACACACGATCACTCAGTCAACAATAAAATATCCTCATTAATGTTCAATAATGGTCAAGTCCACCTTTATTTTGTGATATACGAATAATGTCTATTGATTTGGGTCGCAAATGTTTGAAACTTTTAAAATTATGTGTCCCCAGAAAAAAGCTTGGGAAACTTTTTTGGAAACACTGGTGAGCCTTTTACTGGATGTACAAATCTCCAAATTGACATAAGAAGTGGATTTCTGCAGCTAAACGGCTGGCAGCGAATCAAGCCGCACAGTAATTACAGTACAAATGTATTTTTACATCAGTATTGTTTGTGTTTTTTAGTTTGATGTGAATGATTCAACCATTGTCTCATTATGATTCAAAAACTGCATTTGTGTATCGCTGTGTTGTAGCTTTATAGTCCATTAATGAGGCGCAGAGAGAGCAGAGTCTGAAGAGAAACAATCGTAAATAGTTTCTGCTTAACGTTGACCGGCGGCTTAGAAATGTCGATTGTAGAAAATAAAAGCAAACATTTATGCAAGTATAAAGTAAATGTGAATAGCTTGATGCATTTGAAATACCCTGTACATTACACAGCGCAGTACTTTTTCTTTTTAAATCTTGAAAACTGTGAACTTCCAAACTCGGTGCCAGTCGTTACCACAAATTCACCACTTTGAACGTCTGGAAAAGCTCTATACGAGACTAATGGATTATTATTAGTACTACATGATACATTCCTCCTGGTTATGTCCTACTTTTCTGTGCAGAGATTTGAGAAACACTCAGATCAATTATCAGGGTAGGACATATGACTTAGACAGGCAGACATGCACTGAAATAGACTTCAGCGTATTCCTCCCTGGTTATTTACAGGATGGGCCGTTATAAATTATACGGTGCTTTTCTCTAGCGGTGGGTACTTTAGCTGCTTGTCTCTCTGGGAGATGTAATTGCTCTGCCCGGAATGTTCCACAGTCCATTACCTGCTCATCTCCACGAGGAGGGAGAGCTGCCAGGTTACAGTTACAGGTCTGAGGTCTCATTTATAAAGCGTGCGTACGTACAATCAGGTTATGTACACAAGTTTCAAGTTCGTCATCTATAAAAAGACAGCTAGATGTGGAAGTAAGCAGTTTGGTCCAAATATAGAGAAATTTGTGCACTGGGGGCAGTGTTGGGAAGGTGACATTTAAAATGTATTCCCCTACAGATTACAGATTACATACCCCAAAATGTAGTTTGTAACGTAATCCATTAAATTACTTAAAGTGAGTAAAATAATCTGAATACTTTGGATTACTTGATTTGCTGTAGAGAAGCAAAGACGAGGAAATCTTCACATACGATGTTTTGTCAAGACAATAAAAAAGTCCAGACTTTACTTAACCATATTTAAAATATTATTAATAGAAGAGGAGGAGACATGGTCCATGCAGCATGATTTAGTCCTGTTAAATCCTGTTTTAGACCTGGTTTAGACCTGGTTATAGTCCTGGTTTAGTCCTAGTTTAGTCCCAGTTTAGACCTGGTTTTAGTCCTGGTTTTAGTCCTGGTTTAGACCTAGTTTTAGTCCTGGTTTTAGTCCTGGTTTAGACCTGGTTTAGACCTGGTTTGGACCTGGTTATAGTCCTGGTTTAGTCCTAGTTTAGTCCCAGTTTAGACCTGGCTTTAGTCCTGGTTTAGACCTGGTTTGGACCTGGTTATAGTCCTGGTTTAGTCTTGGTTTAGACCTGGTTTGGACCTGGTTATAGTCCTGGTTTAGACCTAGTTTAGACCTGGTTTAGTGTCCGGCAATGAGTGGAATTACCGGAAAAAAAAAGGGGGATATAGCCCAAATGTGAAAACAGGAAAATACCGCCATGTAATCCATTTATTTCAATAAAGTAACTGTAATCCATTTACCACTCACTGAAACAGTAACTGTAACTGAATACAGTTACTCATAAATTGTACTCTGATTACGTAACTCTGGTACATGTAATCTGTTACTCCCCAACACTGACTGGGGGTTTCAGAGACGAGGCAGGAGGAGAGGCGGGTTCAGAAAGATGAGTGAGGAAGTTCATGTTAGATTTCTACTGTAATTTCTATCTTTGATTTGAGGCTTTTAACAACATTTACTTCACATTGAATATGCACCTTAGATAGAGAAATCATGCCAGAACCAAAAGCAGCGGGGGCACCGAAAGCCTGTCCTGTTGGTAATCTATATCATTCCCCTGGTAGCTGCTGTGCTACAGGTTGGATCAGTTCAGTAAAAAAAAGGTGTGCGCTTCTATGTACAGAAGGGAAACATGATCCAGGGGCAAATAACTCACATTCAAAGTCTTCTAAATTCTAACGGTGGGAGATTGAAACTGAGCATGGTGGTATTGTAGAATTCGCTGCTTATCAGGGTTAATGAAAACTGTGACTTGATTTTAAGGAAGAAACCTTGACCTTTTCAGATTTTTTTTAAAGTACTGCACTGTACATGGCACAGTGTTTTCATGAAGGCACCAACTTATCAACATTTACTTTATACTTACAATTTTCTGACAGTTTTTTGCAACATATATTGCTTTTTAAAAATGAAGGCAATTAAGACATAAAGGTAGAAAAGTCAATACAAGGAACTGTATATATCCCGCGCTCACTGAGCTGCAGACGCTGCTAGGGATGTAACAATAACTGAAATATTATGATATCGTATCGTCAAAGTTCTCACAATAATATCGTGGACCATCACAACATATCGAATTACAAGTCTCTTTGCTTAAATTAAGAGTTATGGTGCAGCAGTAGCTAAAAAAAGACAGAGAGAACTACATAGACCATGATTCTTTGCTTCATTTCAGTGTAGACTATAAGAACAAATAACAGGTCTAAGCACTTTTAAGTCTTTGTTCTTTGGATTAAGTCTTGTCAAGACATTTTAAAAGGAAAAAGTAGTATATTAACAGTTTTGTTAGACAGTTCTGTTTGTTAGTCCATAAAATATCGAAATAAATACCGTACTATGAGATGTATATCGTGAAAATATCGTACAGAGAGATTTGGATATTGTTATATCCCTAATCATGAGCTTCCCCACGATATCGCAATAAATATCGTTCCGTGAGGTTCATACTGTGATGATATCATATTGTTAGACTTGGATATCATTACACCCGTAGAGGCTGCACTAGCACTGATTCATGATTGGCTGGGGTTCATGTAGTGAGGATTCAGATCAGAGTCGGGTCTTTTAGGGTTAAACATACTGGATTTCAGCTTTGAAATTGGCAACGCAAATGACACTCATGAGAGGCTCGGTCTTGAAAACCAAAACACCAAAGTATAACAAATAAATATTAATATTCAGTGTTTTTGTAGTTAAGACTCAATCAGCAATAAAATGTTTGTCTATATTTGACTTGCACGTGTTTACCTTGTATCAGGGGACAGAAACGGGTCACGTTGTTGGAATACAAGTACATTATGTAGAGTTCCTTTAATAAGAACTGAAGTATGGGCAAATTTCTCTCACCTCCGTCTCTCTGCGTCCTGGGGGTCCGTTCCAGGCAGACTGATGGTTATGGACGACGGCGCCCCCACGTCGTATCTCTTCACCATTTTCCGACACACTTTGATCTTGACGAGCGCGGCGTGCACCAGACCCGCCAGGAAGCCCACCACCGGCTGCAGCGCCTCGGGGAAGAAGCTGGCGAAGGCGAAGTGGTCTGACATGTCCCCCCGGCCCCTGCTGTGTCTCTGGTAGAAGCGCAGGTAAACCCAGCCAGACAAAGCGCCGTACGTGTAGGCGGCCAGGGGGGCGGCGCTGTCCAGAAGCCCCGAGAGACGCAGCAAAGACAGGAGAAGAAGAACCAGGGCTGGGGCTGCCTTTAGTCGCACCTGCAGGAGAAACACAAAGATCAGTAGAGTCTTGAATAACAAAGAAAATATATGAATCGAACCATCTGAGCAGTCTTCATTACCGTCCTCCTGTTACCTGGAAATTTATACTTCGCGGTAACGTCACGCTGGGGGTGTTCTACATGTATCTCTATGTACACAATCTCTATGTACACATTAGTAAACACTGTCGAAACTGTTTTTAGGGAGTTTGTTCAAGAAAAAAACACAAAATGAATTTAAACAACGAGGGGTGTAACGATATGCAAATCTCACGATACGATATCATCACGGTATGAACCTCACAGCACGATATTTATTCCGATATCGTGGGAAAGCTCACGATATGGTAGGGATGTAACAATATCCTAATCTCACTGTAAGATATTTTCACAATATACATCTCACGGTACGATAATAATTGCGATATTTTGTGGAGACTACTGTAAATATGCTACTTTTTCCTCTTAAAATGCCTTAACAAGACTTAATCCAAACACTTAAAAGTGCTTAGAACTGTTATTTCTTCTTGTAGTCTGCACTGAAATGACGCAAAGGATCATGGTCTATGTAGTTCTCTGTCTTTTTGAGCTATTACTGCACCATAACTCTTCATTTAAGCAAAGAGACAAGTTTGTAATTTGATATATTATGACGGTCCGCGATTAGTTATTGTTACACCCCTAGAAAAAACACATTTTCAGAAGCCTGTAATAAAAAAAAAAGTGTTAATGTTCGTGTTTAGGCGTAGGTGTGAGAAACTTGTTTAACAGCACCGATCAACTCTCCTGTTCTAGGTCCAGCCAAGTCAGTTTTTCTGGTCAGATTGTGTTAAAACAAAGCTCGGATTAAAGTCTAAAGCGTCAGTCAGAGCAGTGCCTACAGTTAACTTCATACCTCCAGGGAATCAAGTCCAAAGTATCAGTAGCTCAACAAAATAAATATATCACTATGCAACATGACATAGATATTTTTTAGAAGATGAAGTTGGAGGTATTTTACTTCTGTGGGGTATTAACTGCTAACACGACATATTTAGATCACCATGTTAACCTTTTTAGTTTTAAAAATGCTGTATTCAGTGAAAACAATGAATTTAGATGTTTTATAGGTTTCACTTCTGTTTTAAATGCACTCTAAAGGGAGTCTCTCATCCTTTTGCTATCCATGCCAAGTCACTCCCTCTTCAGAGTGCTATTACAACACAGTCGGCGTGCAAAATAAACAATGGCTCATGACATCAGGTTTGTCAAGTTGTTGTGTACACTTCTGTGTCATGCTTTTCTGTGTTTGTGTGTTTATGGATGATTGTCGTGTGGAAGCATCGGTGAGGAAGGTTTGTGGATGGAGCATTGAACGGGATCTTACAGCTAAACGTAAGGAGAGTCTGAAAAGGGGCTGGGAAAGATCGAGTTCTCAAACATGCATGGATGACTCCTAAAACCTCTTCAGGCATGTTTTTGATGAACGTTATAACACGATAGAAAGCTCAAACAAGACGATTTTGAATCATACTTTAACAAAACTGTACACGTAGAACATCTGGAGGGAAAATTCAGCTTTTTGGTTATCAAGGCATAACAGGATTTAATATTATTGTTTAGCGTCTCTATATGTTCTCCACCCATAAACAGCACTTGAAAATGAGTTACTGTATTTTCCGCACTATAGGGCGCTCTGGATTATAAGGCGCACTGTCATTGAATGGTCTATTTTCGAACTTTTTTCACATATAAACCGCACCGGACTATAAGGTGCATTAAACGAAACACAACAGTTGGATAAGTAAGTCAGTTAGTTGGGCGAGTACAGCTTCCATCACGCCCACATCCCTCTCGTCATTATCCGAGTCAGTGTGGTTACTGTTCCCTGGAGTTCAGTTCAGTGATGATTCTGGTCTTGGTGAAAGCTCGGACCACAGTTGATACTGATCTTTAGCCCGGGCGTCCACGATCCGTTGGCAGATCGTGGCGTAAGTCGCTCGGCGCTGTCTCTCTGTCTTGGTGAATGTGTGTTCTCCTTCTCTCATCCACTGCTCCCACGCAGCTCGCACTTTCACTTTATAAACAGCCTTGAGCTTAAAGTCGGCGCAGTAAGCGTGTCTCTCGACAGGTGCATTTTGATATTAAAAGGAATCACAGTATGTATTACTCCGCGATGCTCCTGACTACGGGAGCCGTAATGCTGCAAGTGGTGCGGCTTTGTAGTTTACTAAAGTCGTACTAAGACACCTGAATAAATTCAGGTAAGACGCGCAGTTATTTATTGATTAAATTAAAGGCTTTTTAGTGCGCCTTGTAGTGTGGAAAATATGGTACACTGACAGACCTGATCACGTCTTTATCTCATTTCATACAGCACTACCTGGAAATAAACCTTCAAAAAGAGCTCTTTGATGCTTTTTGTTATTTTGTTGGTAGTAGGGAAGGAAGTTTTACTAGGATTGTAGTCAAGATCTGCACAGAAATTCACACACAAACAATTTAAACAGAAAAGTGCTACAAAACACAAAATACATTTATATTTAAAAAGGTTCTCAAATTTTCAGCTACCTCACTCTATGCCTTCTAATCATTTAAAGTTTAAATCACACTATTTTCTGCTCTATGTTGTTTCGTCATCACAAACATACCTGGAGTTTTGTTCTTCTCTCAAACTTAAAACACTCATGTCATGCTGTAATACAGAAAATGCTCCTTACACCTTCACTGGAATAATTTAGATAAAGATCTGCCCTTGCATTGCCAACCTCTACTGAACTAAAGGTAAAAGGAGCTGTAAACCTGAAACCTACCACTTACTAATATAGGACCTTTAAACTCCAAATAAAATAGGCTTCCTACACCGTTAACTGATTAATCAAATAAACTCCTAAAGGTCAAATAACTACCAACTAATTTCATGTTTATTCCTGAACCATAAAGTCTCCCTGTTTGGATAATATTAAAACAGTTTGACCTTTAAGTTTTAACACAGAAAAAACAGACTAGCTGTGTGTAGTGTTTGGTAAAGAGCTGCCAGTTCCCACTATTCACTATTCACTCATAAACACTCTGCAGAAGAAGAAGAAGAACAGGGACAATGGCTGAGCAGGAGCCAACATCAGCAGAACATTCATCAAACCTGCGCAGCTACTGTATCTCCGAGTATAACCTCAAGATAAAAGTGTTTTATCGTAGCTCCAATCTGACAAACAAGACTGATACTGCACTGTTAATAAAGAAAGCACTGTGGTAAAGGTCCTCATTATGCGAGATTGACTCTTGTGAGCTTTAAACATGGCTAGAATGTTGTTACCTCGTTAAAAAGATTCCTGGAAGTGTAATACTCAGAATGAATACAGTTAATAACAGCAAACCATGACCTAGTTTTGTTTGTTATGTTTTTAAAAAAATGTACAACGCCTTTTAACTGATTAACTAGTTCTAAGAAGAAGTTACTATTCTTTAAAATACTTCGTAGGATTGATACTTGATCACGCCGGGGGTGCTTGAAATCTAGTTCTATTGGCATCATGTTCAGCAGTTGCTATGGTGACAGAATGCACACATACAAATAAGCAAAAAAGTTTTAAGACGGTCTGAAAAAATACAAAATGGATTTAAAGAATACATTTTCAGGAGCCTGTGATCAGTCTGAGCGTTCATGGTCCTGTTTAGGAGTTTGATTTTCAACAAAAGGTGAGAGTGACTAATTGTTAACGCTAAATGGCTTGTGACTGCAATTTTATTTGAAGGGGAGTGTGTAAAAGCACAAATCTGCTCACTTGTTGTAGTTCCAGTTAAGTTAGGTTCTTTTATTAGTACGATTATTTTGGTCAATATTGAAATCATGATTAGTCAAACGATTATTTTATACACGATTATATTTCTCTCTCTCTCTCTCTCTCTGAAAAGAAATCAAAACACTTTGTTATTGATAATTTATGCAAAACTTTCAAATTGAAACTAAATATAGACTACAAATATGTACCTTAGAGCAGTTTTGCGATGTATAAAACATAAAATGAATAAAATATACTTTGAACAATGTATCCAAAATAAACTTTATAACCACCTGTTCTACAATCTCTATATTTAAAAAATAAAATAACTTTACTTAGTTATATAAACAATATCCCAAATAAACTTTGTTAAGCTAAATTGTTTCCACTCGATTCTGTATTTTCCACACTATTAGACGCTCTGGATTATAAGATGCACTGTCATTAAATGGTCTATTTTCAAACTTTTTTCACAAATAAACCGCGCCGGACTTTAAACAAAACACAGCAGTTAGATGGGTCAGTCAGACTTTGTTTGTCGCGTTCACGGTGACTCTGGGCTTTGTTCAGTTGTGGCGTGTAGGGAGGGTGCTGTCTGGGATCGCTGGATTGTCGGCGTGTTCGCAGTGACTCAGTTGTTCAGTTGTGGCTCAGAGTGGCACATTGCACTCTCTTTTTTGGTTCGTTCCCCCGCTCCGTTCCTCGTCCGTGTGGAGTGATGAGTGCGTCTGTGGGTGTTTGTCGCCGCACGGTCGCTGTCTGCTCCGTGTGTGTTTGCGTGAGCTGCAGGTGGTGCGGCTTTGTAGTTTACTGAAGTCGTGCTGGGACGCCCGAGTGGATTCGTGTATAGGGCGCTATTGTAGGGCGCGCGGCCGTTTTTTGATGGGGTTGGAGGCTTTTTGAGTTTATTTATCCCAAAATAAACTTTGTTAAGCTAAATTGTTTCAACTCGATTATATGACTTAGGAGACCGTTTGGCACACAAATCAAAATCACGATCAAAATTTTATTAATTGCAACTAGGGATGGGCATTCGATGAAATTTTCTTAATCGATCGTCAGAAGAATTAATGATCAATTATCGATTAATCATTAACGTTTTTATATTAAAATGATCATCATTATTATTACTATCTGCACTCCTAATCTGCATAAATAAATTCAACTTTACGACAAATAAACCGTAACCACTCTAGAGCCACATCAGCCCGTTTGACATTATAATGTGTTTAATTCAGTTTGGCGCAACTCTCACAGAAACGAAACTTAAAACCGCATCGCTAATTTGCATAAACTAAGCGAAGATAAAAATACAGCTCTTGTGCGATGATGCGGTTCAACTTCTGTAGGATTAAAAGACATGACTCAGTGGAATACAGGTTAGTGTGACCATATTTGCATTTGTCAAAACCAGGACACCGTACGGGGGGAGGGAGGTGGGGACTCGTCATTGACATTGAGCGACTCTCACCTGGCAAAACTTTTTCCCACTGGACACTGAAACATATGTGCTGCTTTATACACTGTGCACATGGACTCACACTTGTCCCGACCGCAACGGAAAGCGTGGAATTTCTTGTACAAGTCATCGTTAAATACACATTTGTGCTTCGGTACGTTGCAGACTGACCGACTGTTTGTGTCTCGCTCCTTCTGAGTGCAGAGAGACACATGTACGGACCCCTGTTTGGTCACACTACGCACAGCAACCTACATTCGGTTTGTCGGTTCAAAATTAAGGTGATCGATGAAATTCTTAATGATCAATTATCGATTAATCGACTAATCATGCCCATCCCTAATTGCAATGCCTTAAGTCAGATTGTGTTAAAGTAAAGCTCAGATTAAAGTCCAACTTGAGTAACAAAGCTTCAGACAGAGCAGTGCCTTCAGTTAGCATCACACCGTGAGGGAATGTTAATGACATCAGCAGCAAAGTATCAATATCTTTGGGTGAAACAGATCAATGCCTGGTACTTCTCAACCCATGGGTCGCAAACCAAAGCTGTGGATCAAAATGTCTAAGGACTACGTAACATAAAACGGTTGGATTTGATGCCAGGTGAAACTGAACAAAACTGCACTTAAAATACCGGCAGAATTTCCACTCACCTGCGGCACTCTGAGAACCGTCGTGTCTCCCATCGTCTGCTTCAGCGCCACCAGCACGCCTCCCAAAAACCCGGCCGCTCCGTGGACCCTCACCGCAAACAGGAAGTCCAGATCGAAGGTCGCCACGTACGTAAGAAAGTAGGACAGCCCCGCGAGCAGACCGGCCGCAACGTTCACCACCGCGAAGAAAATCAGCAGCTCCAGAGCGCCCCACAGCGGCTCCAAGAGGCGTCCGCACGTCATCACTGTCCCCACGTTCGCGACCACGCCCCAGATGTGCTGCTCCACCACGCCATGTGTCACCAAAGTCCAAACCCAGAAATTCGGTGGGAAAAGATATCCAGGCGTGATTCCTAACGCGTAAGAAGTGTCCACCGCAAATGATAGGAGATAGAGCAAGACTACCACGGCGCTAATGGACTTCACAACAACGCTGGTGCTGGCTAAAGCTGCCAGGAAGTGCTGTCTGGCCACAGGGAGGTAACGATTCATGGTGGACATTTGTAGAGACGGGGGATACAGTGAATGTTGGGACTGCAGGGGGCTGGTAGATTAGCAACAGTGGAGTGCAGAGGCAGCCAGGAGTCCAGGTGGCGTCACATATTCAAAAGGAGTTATCAGGAGAGCTGTAAGAGAAAAAAAACAAAAACAGACTTGGTTAAAGAATGCTGCAAAACGTAAGATCAGTGACAACATTCTGCAGAAACAGGCCTTGTATTTTGAGGCTCTTTTTCTGTATTTCTGTTTTAATACAATGACATTTGAGCTGTGTAAGTTTTAATGAGTCACTTATATGACTAATTGTTTACAGCAGGGGTGGGCAATAATTTTTTTAAATGGGGCCATATGGGAAACAGAAAATATTGTGGAGGGTTAGGCCAAAATGTTTAACTCAATTCTGCATAATATCAGAATTGAGTTAAACATTCTGTCACGATGATTATTGATTACACGAATATAAACAATGTATTTTGAGGCTCTTTTTCATTGTGAAAGTGGGAGATTCTGAGTATTTTTGCTTTAATACAATGACATTTGAGCTGTGTAAGTTTTAATGAGTCACTTATATGATTAATTGTTTACAGCAGGGGTGGGCAATAATTTTTTTAAATGTTGCCACATGGGAAACAGAAAATATTGTGGAGGGTTAGGTCAAAATGTTTAACTCAGTTCTGCATAATATCAATTGTATTTCTTTATAAAAAAAAAAGCAGTAAATAAATAGTTTTGACGAGCTGTTGAGACTGGTAAGAGTTTATATTATGACTAAGCAATGAAAAAGTGAGTTACTTTACAAAAAATGTCATTTAAAAAAAAACACCTCCAAAATAAAAGCAATGCAGCTTTAGTCCATGCATGAGGTAAAATTATATGTTTATTTTATAATTCCAAATGAGCTTAAACAGGCCGGTTAGAGTCAAACAAAGGCTGTATGTGGAACTTGAGCTGTACAATGCCCAGGTCTGGTTTAAGAGGATTATCTTCTTGCATTATTGTTATTATATCAGTGGCATAATGTAGCAATATATTGTGCTTCAAAAATCTTCTGATTAAAATTTGTTACTGTGGCAGGCCTATATAATAATAAGAAATAAAAAAAAACACTATCTTACTGTCTATCAAAATAACTTTACCAATTTGGAGCAGAAATGGACTTGAAAATGTAAAGCTATGACCAAAATAATAGAACAACACATCAAATACTATCTTGAAAACATTCTTGAATCTAAAGTTGAAACTAGTGTCACACGTCAGCTGAGACTGAGGTCCAAAGTTTGACCTCTGACCTCAAAGTGACGCCTGTTGATTAATGTGTTACCTTTAAACATCCATTTGCAATCACTCGTCAATGCATGCAATCTACCATTCAATGCATGATTACGCTATCGTCAAGAATTCTGCTCTTCTGCAATCAATGCCATAACCACAATGAAAGAGTCACTATGCAAAGGTTTAGTTATGACCAAATCGCAGTTGTGAGTCACGCAAACAAAAATATTCTGCAATTCAATATCCAAAAACTGTTCAGTACACAAGAAGTACACTGTGAATTAAGGGGAAGGAGTAAATTTAAAACGAAGACAGTGAGAACCACCAGAAAAAGCATGTGTGTGTCTGTGTGTGGAATGGATTGGGAAAAAACCTGAAGCAGTGCCCAAATATTCACAGCTTCAAAGGAAATTATAAAGAGTTTTTGCTTTTGTGGTATAAGGGTGAGTGACAGCTCTGGGGGATCTAAAAAAATAAATAAATAAAACAGATATTATTATTATTATTACTTACTATTATTAATAATTAATAATAATAATAATAATAATAATAATAATAATAATAATAATAATAGAAAAAACTATAAAGATAAAATAAAAACTGTAAAACATAATATAGTACAATACGAAGAGGTGTAACGATATCCAAGTCTCACGATATGCTATCATCACGGTATGAACGATATTTATTGTGATAACGTGGGAAACCTCACGATATGGTGGGGAGGCTCACGATTAGGGATGTAACAATATTCCAATCTCTCGGTACGATATTTTCACGATATGCAACTCACAGTACGATATTTATTGTGATATTTTGTGGAGGCTAAACAGCTAAAACTGTGAATATGCTACTTTTTCCTCTTAAAATGCCTTGACAAGACTTAACCCAAAGAACTAAGACTTAAAAGTGCTTAGAACTGTTATTTCTTCATGTAGTCTGCGCTGAAATGGAGCAAAGCATCATGGTCTATGCAGTTCCCTCTATTTTTTTTTTCCTATTGCTTCACCATAACTCTTAAATTAAGCAAAGAGACTTGTAATTCGATATATTGTGATGGTCCACGATATTATTGTGAGAACTTTGACGGTACAATATCACGATATTTTCGGTTATTGTTACATCCCTACTATTTGTAAATATTTGTAAAGTTTTGTCATCAGTGTACACAAGCAACCACATAATTTTTTACACTATGTAATGAAAAGGGGTGGGTTCTTTTCTTCTTTTACAATGTTTATGTAGTATGTATATGATTATTGTTTCTGTCTTGACACAAACTCGAAATAAAAACGAATCAATCAGTGAATAATCGAACGCCTCTCGTCAGCGACGTAGTGGATATTGCGAAATAACCGCACTAAGTCGATGTTTGTTTGCTTAGTCACTAGTAGTAGTCGGATAATTACACATAATTATTAATGATGACAACAAATGGCCTTAAACGCTGGAAAATCAAGCTACACACCTGTTCTCAGCACTAATCCAAGGCAAATAAACTTTACAAGATAAGCTTTTGGAAGGTGCGGGTAATCTCATAACTACCTTTTAGCGTAAGTTTGCGGCCTGTGACCTTCAGACATCAGCAGAAAAGGTTCACAAGTCCTCACAAGCTCAAAGCGGAGAAGCCGAGAGCGATTTCCAAAATGCAAATCCTCCCACAAACTGCCAACTTCTGTATGAGCTCAGAGTTAGCTCGTCAACACGGTAGCATTGGCGGTACAGGTTAATTTAATGGTCTGAAAGGCTGAGGGTGTGTTTGGGGTGAGGTTGAGTTATTTGAGTGATAATCGTATAACCTTATTGATTATCCAAGTCCAGAAGCTCCATTCCCGGTCTCGGCGCAGTCTCGGCCCAGCCTTTTCCAGAAGCGAACCCGAGGATCTCTCTCAGCTCGCGACAGGCCTCCAAAACAAAGCGAAAACCGAGTCAATACGCCGTTAAATCGCGTGTACGTCTGACAGAATCAACAGCAACTTAAATAATTTCTTTTTACGTGATAGTTTGAGAGGATATATTGCACAATCGGGCGCAGAAATAGGTGTAATCGCGGCGGACACTCCTGCTACAGGGACAGCGGTGAGAGGTACGGAGCTGCGCCGTCTGCCAACGTCAACGGGAACGACATCAGCGTCACGCACGGTCGACGCAGCAGCAGTGCATTCTGGGAAAATGAGTTTTTTTCTTCTTTTTTCGTTCTTTTTTTTAAAATTATTATTATTAAATTGAAAGTAGATAGAGAAAAATCCCCCACACCGTCTTACTTGCACATTGTGAGATTATTATGACAAAATATGTGTCCTAATATTTTATTTATTCGTCGTAATAAATCGCAGTTTGCAAGTAAGACAGTGTGCGGGATTTTTCTCTAGGTTCTGGGGCTGCCCCCTCTCCTCCAACGCAATGTAACGCAACGTATTGATGTGCGACGTTCTCACTCAGTTAAACTGAAAGTAAATACTCACAAAATGAAAGAAAATAATAGCATATCAACAAATACGGAGCAATTTAAAAGAACCATCTTATGGGAGTAAATTAAAGTCATACAAAAAGGACACAAGCAAATCAGCCTTTTTTTTTTTTTTTTTTTTTAGTTAAATTGAAAGTAAGTAGAGAAAAATCCCGCACACCGTCTTACTTGCACATTGTGAGATTTATTAGGACAAAATATGTGTCCTAATATTTGATTTATTCGTCCTAATAAATCTCACAGTTTGCAAGTAAGACGGTGTGCGGGATTTTTCTCTATGTTCTGGGGCTGCCCCCTCTCCTCCAACGCACCCTTCTCAAGTAACTGATGTGCGAAGTTCTCACTCAGTTAAATTGAAAGTAAATACTCACAAAAAGAAAGAAAATAATAGCATATCAACAAATATGGAGCAATTTCAAAGAACCATCTTATTGGAGTAAATTAAAATCATACAAAAAGGACACAAGCAAATCAGCCTATTTATTTATTTATTAATTTTTTTTTTTCATTTTAGGCTCAGTTAATTAACAGAAAGCTTCAGGTCATTTGTCCAGAGTGTTATAATTGCTTTGGTCTTGAAAATCATTTGACATTTGTGAATAAAATGTTTACCCAAAAGCTGTAAATTAATGATACCATACTCAGTTTTACTGTCGTGAGAGCATCTGTTAGGAGGGACTAGCTTCAACTACAACAGAAATGCCTTGAATGTCCATGGACAACAAAAAGGTTGTAAGATTTATAAGTGAATGATTTTCTGACGTGATTGTTTAGATAGATAAACGGCCTTTAACACAATCCCATGTATTTTGTATGAGGCCAGTCACGTGGCACAGAGAATCAACCAATCAGAGGGAGCCTGTCATCCACGTGCTGCTGTGACGAGGCACAACCAATCAGAAGTGCTCATTCATAAAATAATTGCCCCAGACCCGCTTTCAAGCCCTGCTTCAATTCAATTCAAGTTTATTTATATAGCACATTTAAAACAACTTCAGATGACCAAAGTGCTTCACATACAAGTCAACCAAACAGAAGAAACAGTTACATATACAGATATACAGAAAACATGTGAAAACTATAATAAAAACACCAAGAGAACCTGACTAGCTCGTACTAAATGCCACGAAGAAGAGGTAAGTTTTCAGTCTCGTCTTAAACTGCGTTACAGACTGAGAGGATCTGACAGCAAGAGGAAGGTTGTTCCACAGTCTGGGCGCTGCCACAGAAAAAGTCTCTGTCACCTCTCGTCTTGAGCCGAGTTTTGGGCACAACCAACAGGAGCTGGTTGGCTGATCTCAGAGCTCTGGGTGGAGTACAGGGCTGCAGTAACTCCCTCAAATAAACTGGACCCATGGAGTGTAAACGGTCCTCGAAACCTGTCGTTCACAGCCCCCTCTGCCCCTAGTCGACCAACTGGTCATAACTCCCGCCCAAACCAAACCCCGCCCCTCCCCAAACTTATGGACCGGAGATCCTCGTTTGACACACAGCTCCGGTCCTCGTTTACACACAGTTCGCTGGATGGAAGCTCTTCTGCTGTGAACCACGAGCACTTTGTCCAGTGGAGTTCGGTCCTACGTCCGAGGAGAAGATTTCCAACAGATTTCGTCTCTTTCTTCATCTCATTTAAGTCTAATTTTCTGTGGTTCCGGTTAGTCTATGCTTAGACCTAGTTATTCTTCTATATGAAGCATAATACTTCAGTTTTTTGCAAACACTATGATTTGAACAAGTTTATTGTCTAAATTGTGTTTCTATTTTCAGATTGTTCTGAAAAGCAGAAGTCCAGTTTGGGAGCAGATGGGCCCAACTGTTTACAACATAAACACTCAAATAAAAGAAGTGAATTGAAGTGAAATGGCTTTTTGTGTGTCCTTACAACTGTTTTGGCCTGTTGATGCAGTCTGCAAATGTTCCTGTAAAACCGAATTTAACACTGTTAAAAGCATAAATAAGTTGTGTGTTACATAAATATAGTTTAAAACATATTCTGTCAATGGAGCCCAGAAATGGTCTTGATTTGGGGAGGATTTGGGGAAGATTGTCTCTTTGGATGGGAAATGCAGCAGGAAATAGAAAAAAAAGCATTTCCAGTGAATCTGAAGGTTAATTAAGTTCACCTTGGTCCTTGGTCCAACACAGTCGGCTATAGCAGGAGGAACAGACTATCACAGTCAGTCCACTTTATTAAAAAATTAAAGCAACAGTTTCATTACAGTAATGATCATGGTCTCTGACTATTATTTAACACTGGAGTTCAGATGACATGACAGATTACATTTCATAGATCAATAATATCTTTAATATTGTTAAAATGCAGATTTTTGTTGCAGTGCAGCAAGTTCTAGGATCTAGTCACAATGTGATCAGGGTCAACATTTGTGCATTTACCTTTTGTATATTTCATGGCAAAATGTAAAAGAATGTCTTTTGCCCCACATCTGGTTATGTGACATTGTCCCATTCTAAAAATCACCAACAGTTCACACACACTGTATTTCACTGAGACTGTTGTTGTCTATTCCATAGCTTCCTTTAGAAATGACCATATACACTTTATTATGATTTCATAAAAAGGCCAGGTCAACTAAAAAAAAAAAAAAAAAGAACTGAATTGAACTCACCCCTGGGCTACTGTAGGTTGAGACATCATAACATTCTGTAGGGCAGATCTGGACTTTGTACAGCTCTTGGGCCACATACGGCCCTTTGGTTGACTCTGAGGAGTCCCCAGATGCTCCTCACGTGGGGAGAGCCCCGATGCAAGAGTATATGACCCAAGTGCCATTCCGTGTTTTGGTCTTGCTCAAGTGAAATGCCCAGACATCTCTAGCATTTCTGAGGCAGGACATGTAAAAATAGTGAATGGTAAGGCAAAATTTAAGCTGAATCATAAATACCACTGGCAGGTTCAAGGCCAATTAGCAGTAACTGGATTGAGTTGGTGAGATTTTATAACAGACACTGAGGGGGACTTAACAGTTGAAAGAGTCTGGATGGATGATGAAATGATAAAAGAGATGAAAAAGAAGGTGAACCTGTACTTCTTTGGTACATATATGAATGTGTATCTTCAGCAGAAAGTGAAGTGAACTGAATGAATAAAGGATTTTATTCATTTTTTTTAGTTAATTTATATATTTTTACTACATTACATGTTTACAATACTTTTAGGACAGACTGATCTTTACAATTTATTACACTTGAATGATCATACAGATCATGCAATATTTACAATATTTTAAGTATACAGTTAAATTCATGTGATTGGAGGGAAACACTATTCAACAGGGATGTAGCATTTTAAATCAAGTGGCCCCTGGAACATGGACATCACACAGCAGACAGTCCACAGCTGGTTGACTGTCCCACATAAGCTTAGACGGAGGGTGTGTTTCCAGATTCGATATTCCTTGATTCTGCGTATTGCTCTTTCTACAAGGATTCGAAGTTGGGCACTTGCTTGTGTTTTTAGAGCATCGTCTTCGGTAAACTGCGCTGTGGTTAGAGGTGAGATAAGTTCATTTCTATTATTTCAGTGAGGGACACAGTACTTAAACATTTGTCTGCACATATAGATTATCATTTTGGTCACAGTTTTAATTTGAAATATTCAAAGTGAAATTTCGTGCCTACCTGTCATCTTGAAGGGTGGTATAATCAGCGTTGCCCCACGGTCGGCGAGCAGCTTCTCAATGGTGAAACCCTTGTCTGTCATGCAGCCATCTCCTGGCTCCAGTAGGTCAAACAGTCCACTTTTTTCAGTCAGCTCTTGGTCAAAGATGGAGCCGGTGAAGAGACTTGACACAAAAGTCACAGCACTACATGGGGCAATCCCAATTAAGCCCTTGAAGGTTGTCGTGTTTTTGTATGATGAGAAAACCTCTGACTGGAGAGTGAGGGATGATGGAGTTTGGCATAACACTTCAGTGCAGTCGATGATCACCTGAACATCTGGACAGTACTGCACAAATTTACTTGGCATGGTGTTCCTGACTTGTTGTTTACTCATCCAGATGGGAAGGGAGCCAAGGATCGGGTAAAGGTAGTTGGCCCATGTTATAACAACACAGGACACAGTGAACACACTGACCTGAAACATGTCAGCCAGCACCTTCTCTTACAAGCCTGCAGCAACTCGGCAGCAGAAAAGAAAAAACTCATCAACCAGTTGCAGTCTCCATGTTGAACTGGGAGATAAGGGTTCAGATGTTTGTGACGTTTTCTGCGCTTTAGACCAATAAACTACTCTGGAGGCAGATGGTTGTAAAGCCTCCCAGAGATCACAAAAAACATCTCTTGAAGTGAATATTGTGTAAAAAAAAAAAAAAAAAAAAAAGTCCTTATCTGATACACAGAATCTACGAAAACACACTTGAGCCACATTCAACTGTGCCAGCTCTGTTGTCAGTTCCTTAATTTCTTCTTCTAACTGCTGTATGTGAGCAGCAGCAGCATCCAGTGCACCTGTATGTGAGATGATAGAAAGAAATTAGATATCTGACCCAGATTTTGTCTGTGACTTGCATACTGGAAGTAGTTTGGACTTCTAAGCTACAGGGAATAGTTTTCATAGCTCAATGTCTACCTTTACGTTTAATCAAGTGAGAGAGAAAACTCAACGTTTGTACTTGTGTTG